TTTCAATTTTTTCAAATTCAACTCAACTTAAAAGTAAGTATTACAATTACCTACTGATTAACCTACTAATTTTAACAAAATAATAATAATAATAATAATAATAATAATAATAACTCTCCAAACTCACTAATTTAATAAAAATAAAGTTCGGAACAAAATTGACCATTAAATAATTATGTAATAACTTAGAAAATTAAAAAGAAAAATTACTCTATTGTCGTTTTTTTTTCTGAATCTTATCAATTTTATAACAAATATATCTTTTATAATTCATGATAATAATTTTTTCAAAAACTTTTAAGATGAAAATCTATCCAAGGTAAAAATTACAACACCTTTTAAAACTTGTGATAAATATTGGTACTTAACAAAATTTAAAGTACACTATCTATCTAATGAAATTAAAAGCAGAAGATAAAAACTGATATGATTTTTTCCCATTCTATTAATATGTCACTATTATTATTTGGGACCATCAAATTCCATTCCCTAATCCCTATTTATGCATGTTCCAAAGATAGAAGAATCAATTCACATCTTCATATCTTCAATTTTTCCACCAAAAAAATTGCAATTATTACTCTTTATGTTTTTTATTTTACATAAAAGTTATGAAAAAAAAATAAATCTTTATCCATGGAATCATCACAATTAAAATAAGTGGTGAGAGGAATTGTTATTAAATTTGATGCCCATGAATAGTGGAGTTTTGTTGTGCAATGCATTGGCAAATGAATCTTGCTTGCCAACTATGAAACTTTAGCATATATAAATGCTTGCACAAAAACCTTAGCTAAGCTTTGAATTCATACCATTTGAATAATCTCAAGAACCAAATACCTTGAACCTTATTATAAAAGTAAGGAGGAAAAAAAATACCTTGAACCTTGGAAAAATGTAAATTGTAAGATGTTGTGGATCCTAAAAATTTGGGAAAGAGAATAAATTAATGAAATTTCTTAAGGGAATGAATTTGAGATGAGCCTATTGCGGAAATCTTGACAAGTGTCTCTACCTCCCATCTCATTTCCAAAACTACCCGTTGCATGTAAATATATTTCGTATTTGCCATTTTATCAGACTTTTTCTTTGTTTGGCAGAGGGAGTTGTTTGGCAGAGGGAGTTTGAAGACATTTTTGTTTGAGTTTAACTCGACAATAATTGACATCTGTTTTTTATTCGGAAGGTTATGAGTTCAAATCTCCTACTCTCACTTGTTGTACTAAAAACAATTATATTGAATTATATATTAATAACTATTTTTCATAGCTTAATTAGTCAAAGTATATATTTCTATTAAAATATGAGAGGGGGAAAAAGAAACAAATTTACACAAAATTTTGAGTTTTTTTTATTTTATTTTTTAAAAATACCATTGTCAAAATATTTTTTAAAATGAAAAAATAAATTAAAGGGTTCATTTTGAAATAAGTAATTATCATGTGGCAATATTGAAAACTACTTGGGTAAAATGGTATTCATGGTAAGTAACATCAAGGGGAATAAAAAAAAAATATATATATATATATATATAATTCCTATTCTCGATTCTCATTTCAAAGTAAATACATGTTACAATTTTTTATTTAAAAGCATTAGAGAAATGTGAGGATAAGGAATTAAATCTTTGACACTTGATAGTTTAGTTTGCTTGCAACTTTTATTTAGAGCTGATTTTCGTAATTTTATATTTACTTAAATATATGAAAAATGTAAAAAAAGAGACATTTTCAAAGTTTTTCTTTGTTTCAAATCATGTTTAGTTGATAAAGTTACATCAATTAAGATATGAGAGCTATCATCTACCTCATTCGAAGTATTTTGGCTCGGACTATATTATGTAACGGCTAGTCATCATATTTAATTAGTTGACTTATGTTCATATTAGGTAAGAATAGTTTGCATATCTTTTAAGTTGCAACTAATAAAGTTACAACGATGTAATTTAATTACAATAGTTTCGTAAATTTGTGGTTTCTCAAATTCAACAATGTTTTTTTAATTATTATTTCAAAATAATTGGAAAATGGTAGATCCATTTAATGATTTATTTTTTATTTGCTGTTCTTGAAAAGGGAAATTTATTTTAGTAAATAAATGATTTTTTTTCTATTTTTAATATTTAGTTACAATTACAAAATTCCTTATTAAAAGTGCTCGCAAATAAAATAAACACTTATCTCTAAAAGAAAAAAGTTTAAATATCATTCTTTAAATTTTAAAAATTTTTTATTTGCATTAAACTTTTAAACTTTTCATTTTAATCTCTATTCCCTTTTAATTTCTAAATTTCTTAAATATTTATTTTAATCCCTAAAATTTTATAAAATAATTATATTTTTCTATTAAGATTAAAATACTATTTTGGTCTTACTTTTCACTTTAGTTTAGTTGGGTCCCTATATACTTTCATTCATCTGCGCCCTATCATTTCAATTTCAATTCATTTTATTCTTTATACTTTCAAATTATTTATTTTTGTCCCTATAATTTTTAAAAGTCACCATTTTTTGTCCTTTAATTTTATTTTTAATCTCATTTTTTATCAAATTTCAACACGACACTACATCCAATATATTTATTTAAATATAGCTATAACTTTAAAGGGTTTCCACTATCTGTAGAATTTGTATTCAAACTTTGAAAACAGAGACCAAAATGATCGCTTTTTAAAAGGATAGGGACCAAAACAAACATTAAATTTGAAATTACAATAACTAAAATAAACCAAAGTTGAAATTACAAGGACCAAAATGAAAATTTTGAAAAACAGTGACTAAAATATGAACTAAAGTTCAAAGTACAAGGACTAAAATAGTATATTTTAACAAAGGGATAGCAAAGTTTCTAAGAAGGTGTATGATAAGAGTGTCATTAAAGCCACATTGGAGAGTTGAATGAATATTAGGTGACAAAATAATAATAATAATAGTTTTTTTTAATGTTTTAATACTAAAATTGACATTTTAAAATTTTGGTGACTAAAATAATTACTTTTTAAGAAAACTAGAGATCAAAACTAACATATTAAAAGTTGAGGGATCAAGATGAAATAACCATCAGCGTTGAGGACCAAAATGAAATTTAAACCTTTTATAAAATAAAATTATTAAAAATTTTCAAATACAACCAAAATATTTCTTGGTTAAGTTGAGAAACCTATTGGACCAACTTCAATCGTCCACATTACATATTTGTCCAATACCAATGATGACTCTAATTTGATAATCGATTCAAGATAATACAACCATATAATATTTGAGTTGCAGATTGTTCAAGTAATTGATTTTAAAATTATTTTCCAAAAAAATGGAAATTTTAAGCCTTATTTTGATTATATTTTTGTTTATTTTTATTTTTAAAAATTATACTCATCTTCTCACCATTTTTTTTATATATTTTTCACATGGTTTAAAAACTCATTTTAGTTTTTCAAATTTTAACTTAGATTTTGAAAATATTTCAAAAAAAAAAAAAGTAGATAACAAAATAAGGAACACAGTATAAAAATAGTGTTTTTAGTTTCTTAATTTTTAAAAATAAGGCTCTAGTATTTTTGAGATCTACTTACCTATTTTCACGCATCAAATTAAAAATAATTGTTTGATGTGAAATTTTATTTTTATGAAAACCCTGCGACAATTTTGAAGTCATGTAATATAGTTGTCCTCTTTTTTATATATCAAAAAATCAATATAATTTTCCTATAAAAGACTTATTATGAAGATATAATGAATTTAACAATAACAATAATAAAATTCAAGTGTGCACATTATTTATTTATTTATTATTATTATTATTATTATTATTATTTTAGTACATGGGTGTGAGATTTCGAACTTATGACCTCTTCATCAGACATATATAATTTGTATCTAAACCAATTCAAACCAACCATTCGAACCCACTACTTCTTACTTGAAATATCTGTCTTAACTAGTTGAACTACTACTATGTTAATGGACCTAATTCGATATCTTAATCTTTCTTTTTTTTTAAAGCAATATCTTATTCTTTCAATTATGGTTGATTTTGCTAATTAATACTTGATTTAAATATTTATGAAGATAATCATATTATTAATTGATATGGAGGATGGTGGAGATTATTTTATACAAGGATGGGTCCATATGTTCCCTTATTACCCTTTTTAATTATCCAAAATTGTGGAGCTGACTCAGAAACTTTGCCTTATCTTGTAGTCTCTTTTGCCTTCATAAATGCCCTTACTTTAGTGCATATATAGTATATAATAATAATGTAAGGAAAATTTGAACCCTAACTCACATTTAAAAATATATATGTTTTAAATTTGTGGATCCAAACTATATTTATTATCATCTTCAAGATGGATGATTCAATTTTGCTAATTCTGTCTGAGAACTTTCGAGCTTATTATATTTTGTTTTTTGGTTATTTAAAATATTTATTCTTCTAGTGCCTACACTTTTAAAAAAATACTTTTCGGTATTACCTAAACTTTCGAAAACGAATTATTCTGGTATTTGTGGTATATTATTCTACCACGTAATTTTCATTTACGGGATACTCATCACTCGATTACATACTCATGTGTCAACATATCATTACACATATTTGGAGTCACGTTATCTATTTATTAAACAGTTAATATTTATGGAGAAAAGCAAAATAATTAGTTTAAAAAAATATATATGAATTGAAATAAACATTTTGAGAGTTAAAACACTAAAATGAAATACATTTTGAAGTTTAGATTAAAAGAGAATGATACGAAACTTTAGGGATTAACATGAGATTTAAAAATAATTTAAAAATATATTTTTAAGTGTATGTGTGTATGTTATATATATATATAGTTTAAGTGAAGTTGGAATTCGAACCTCTTATTTCTAAAAGTTAAATAGCTTTAAAAAACATATAATTAGGTTGCAACAATCTAAACAATTAATAGAAAATTATTTATTTCTAATTTTGAGATGTGAGGTTAGTGTATATGTATGTGTGTATATATATCATTTTTTAAATTAGTATTATATATTAATAACCAAAAATATTCGGTTAGTTGTTAGGTTAATACTATAATTTAACGAGCTCAACTGATTATTGTCATACCATACTCCACTAAAATGTTGGAGGTTTCGAATTATCTCATCCTCACGTGTAGTTTGACTAAAAAAAAGTTATTATTACTATAGCTAATGAAATTGTATAGGTCAAATTAACTATTTTCTAAAACTTACCGATTAATTCATGACGTTTGAAAACTTCGAGACCAAACGACTTATACATGAAAACTCGAGACTAAAAATATTGTTTTAAAAATTCTCGTACCAATCTAAACAATTCTAATAATTAATTTCAGCAAAACGTTCTAGCCACTAATGTGATAAATTGTAATAACAAGTACTAAAAAAATCATAATAGCAAAAGTTTAATTGGATTGGATTGGAGAAATGACACGAGAAAATAAATATATAATTTAAGTGATTCAATAGGACGACCTACCTTACATCCCAACCTCTATGTTCAATCGTTTTGCTACGATTTAATTTTCACGACTTAAAAGTCCAATCGTTACAATAACTCTATTTAAATAACGAATTCAAAGGCCAGTTGAACAATATTTTCTTTTTCTTTGGAGTAAAAGGGAATAACTTAATCATTTCAACAGTTAAAAATATCAAATTGTTATTACTACTCTTTTTACAGCAAAAATCAATCCTTTCCAATATTAAAAATATTTGGAACAAACTCACAAATTCTTTCAAGGAGTGATAATGTGCAAATATGTTAAGCATTCTTTCTGCTGTTAATCAAAGCTGGATTGTTTTTATTTTTATTTACGGAAACTTGATTTAATCTCGACCGTTCAAAATTATTAAGCGAAACGTTATAAGATATATCTTCTCCCTAGATTGTCTTTCACTAGAGATTCTGTCATTTTCTTATTGTTCTTTTTTTTTTCTTTTTTCAGATACAAAAACGTTATTCCCTTTGACTTGGGTGTGGAATATATCCAGTGATCTACCGTCCGTTTATAATTTATAATTTGTAACGATTTAGTCTCGAATGTGAAAAGTTATGGGAAGGTGAAGTACTAATTTCTATTATATAGCAATTAAATCCTTGTAATTTATAAACACACATTTAGTCCTTAAGTATTTTATCAATCTACATGTGTAAGAAACGATATTGTAGGGATTAAATCGTTAAAACAATTTAAACTACAAGGACTAGGATTATGATATACTTGTTATGGGAAGATCAAGTCAAGCCCAACGAAACTACAAGAGACTCAAATTGGGCCAGACATGGAAGGCCTAGGTGTAGAAACCCAGCAGGCGAAGACCAAGACTCAGCACACAGAAGACAAACGGGCTGAATCAGTCGAAGTTGATGAGTTCTCGACTGCTGCGAAGGCTCTCCGATGGTTTTATAGACCCGAACCCGTCTTGTCTTGGTAAAATCTGATAACAGGCCAACAACTCCTTGATTCGATATCGGCCCACAACAAAGTGTTAAAGCCCAGAAGGCTAAGTTTCCTAAAGCCATTAGGATTCAACCTCTAAATATAGAAAGATATGCTGAACACTAAATGTACGCTAAATAACTCTACTTTTGACAATTGTCAACTCCCGATTCTAACTCAAGCATCGGAGTCTCTATGACTAGCACCATACCAGTGTTCAAATTTGTTTGATTTGCAGGTCGACGTCAAATCCCATTTTTTTATTAGAAATTGGTGCGAATTTGGTGGAATCTCGAAGGCCGAAATTCTACATCAACAATACTAATTAAAATTTAAGGGCTAAATTATTACAAAATTTGGAGCATAACGACTAAATCTCGAAACATCTACAATTTCAATGTCTATAGACATGTGGTGTACCTTTCATTTAAAAATGAAAATAAAACCTACTTAGTTGAAGATATAAAACCTAGTTCAAACTTGGCAGTCGTATTATGTACCATTTCTGAGATTAAAAGACAATAACATCTCATTTTTGTCGACACGAGTCTAGTTCAACTGGTCAAGATACCAATCTCCGACTAAAAAATCGTGAATTCGAATCTACAACCCCACATGTTGTAAAAAACAAAAGACAAAAAAAGGACTATCTCATTCTCAAACACGTACATTGTCTCACAACTCGGACTCGGATTTCACTATTCGCAATTCAACTTCAAACTACAAAAACTTAAACTCTATGAACACCCTTTAAGGAATTGAACTTTAAAACAAGCCTAGAATTCTTCAAGGAAATAAGAAGTAAATAATATTCAACTTTTGAAAAAACTCACTGCATTTGGCACACACAAGTTGAAGAGATGATTTTTGGTGGGTGTGAAATTTAATTTTTCACAAAGCACTTTTGACAATCTTCCACTAGCAGCTGCCACTTTGATTCAGCACTGAGTGAGGAGGGCAAAAGGGTCATTTCGCCTTCTGATTAAAGGCAAGTAATTGAGAACAGAAGAGAAGGGTTTGTTAATAATAAGGTCACAAGGTTGCATGTTTTGTTGCTTCTTCATAGTTTTTGCAGTCTCTTCCTCCACTTTGCCTCTTCTTTCTGAACCTTCTGTAATAAATGTATTGCAAAATTATCTATTTGGGTGTTGTGTTAAGCTTTTGATTCAAATCAAATCATATAATATGTGCAAATTCCAACAATACCACAAAGAATATAACTTAATACTAAATTTGGTGTGGCCTAACCTGTGATTTTAAGCTATACTTGAGAGTGCTTTTTGCATGGCCAAGAAGTGCTTTTCACGCGAAATTATCATATTTGGGAGTAGCACAAAAGTATTTTTTAAAAGAAAAAAATCAAAAGTAGTTTTAGTTATTTAGGATCAAGCATCAAAGCGATTTCTTTCTGAATAACTTTTTGCTATAATGCTTATGAAGTATTTAAACTAAAAGCACTTAGGTGCGTTTTAAAATTAAATGCGTTTGAGAATTACGATAGAATGTGTGATTTTAAAAAAAGATATTCAAGTATAATTGATTTTTTAAAATTGTCATTCAAGTGTCTAATAGATCTCAAAACTTTCAATATTATATCTACTAGAGCCCTTGAACTTTCAAATATATATTTAATAGATCTCTTACCCAATCGATATTTGTTAAAATTAACAAACTTATTAGACACAAAATTGAAGCCTTAGTATCTTATTAGATTAAAAAAAAGTCAATTTTATTATCTATTAATTTTTAAAATGTCGGATATATCGGGAACCTTTTAGACACAAAATTCAAAGTTCATAGATTTATAAGGGACCTAATAAATACAAATTTGAAAGTTCAAAGACTAAAACCCCCGAGTCCAGGGACCTATTGGACACAAATCTAAAAGATCCTGAACTAAATTTGTAATTTATTCTTCAACTAAAAAGAAATCTTTGAAATATTCTTCAAAAAATACGTAATGAGTAGTTTAAATCATTTTGGTAGAAACAAATTTGATATTAAAAAAAACAAGTATTTAGAAATATAGAAATTGAAAAATATTTTAGATTGTGAAATGTGAAGATAAAAATATGAAGAAAAAAAAAAGGATACGAATAAGTCTAGGAGGACGCAAACAACAGCATCGAGTAGCCATGGCATGTTGGCTTTGATTTTCCCCCAATCTGTGCTTCTCACGAGAATACTGCATTCATTCGGTCGACGTTTTGGTCAGTCACAAATAAACAACCTCGAGCTCGAGATCAAGGGATCGAGATCGAGATCAAGTTCGAGTTTGAGAGAGCGAACCTTGCAACATAAGTGGCATTGGCAACCAAAGCAAATACAAACATCAGAGGATTCAGCCCCTGTTCACATCAAATCACAACCATCAACTGGTTCCGATCATTTAAACAAAAACGATGAGCTTTCGTGCTTCTATTACGTCAACGCTCAAATTTTTGTTTTAATCTCTGAACTTTGAAGAAGAAGAAAAACCATTCTAATATATGATGATTTTAAAGGTGATTAAGAACCCGACTATAATATTATTGACAAAAACACTAAAATATCTATTTATCCAAAATAACAATCTTACCTCTACACTCCCTCTTTTGATCTGCCAAAAAAATAATAATAATTACACAAATTAGAGGATAATAATAATAAAAATATTAGAATGTTAGAAAATTAAATTTTAGGATAGTTTAAAATTAAATACCCACATTTAACCAAATTTGAGGGAGTCTACCACCCATGTAAATAGCAGCCATAAGCCAACCCAATAATTGCCCAAAACCACTATGACTAATTCCATGTTCCTGCAAAAATAATTAACACATTAAACCACAATTTTTATTTATTAATTAAAATTACTCTTCATTTTTTTAATTAAAATTTATCATACTTGTAAAAGTTTTCTTCCTCTAAATCCATCTGGGAAGCCCTTGCTTTGGAATGGCAGATTTGCTGAAGCTGCTAAAAATGTCCCATAACCGACCTGAAAATACCACACATCTTGATTAAAATGTCGATGTCAATAGAAATACAAGCTACTTAGACTCGAGAGGATTAGAATAAAGTTCGAATGTAAACTTATTTTCAATTAGTTTTAAAAATCTAAGTTTCATAAAAATATCCTTCATCTTAAAGTGACGAATATGAAAGTGACAAGTTTTGCTTAATTAAAGTTCTTTTTTTAAATTATGATCTAAGTTTGAATTAGGAGTCTATGGGCACAAGTTTCAAAAGTAATGTATTTTTTAGCACGTTGATGTGTTAGAGGCGTGAGCGTTACAGCTATAGAAAATTTTCTAGTACTATGATATCGTGACAATTTTTATACGATTTATTGTAGGCTGATAGTACTATAATTCTTTTTCCGATCTCATTTTTCCCTTTTGTCCTTTTTGTCTCTTCCTATCGCGTTCTCTTATTTTTAAATTACAATTCAAATAATAGAGGGAGGATTCGAACCTAAGACCTACGATGAGATTATTAATATTTAAAACCAATTGCGTTATTTCTTTTCAATTAAAGCATTTTCAAACCAATTGACAAATTTAAAAGGGAAAATTTCCATCAACATTTTTTTTTATTTTTGGAAAAAGCATTAAAAGGGAAAGATAATTTTAAAGTGCAAAAATAAAAATAAATAAATAAATAAAACTAACCGATCGAGGGATGGGCCTGGGCCGGGAGATAGTGGAGGCGGCGGAATCCGATTCATCGTCGGAAGATGAGCTGTCGTTGCCGAGAGCCGACGGCCCACTTTTCGGTAGCCGGAGAAACGCCCGAAACGGCGGCGTATCGCTCCCGGCCAGCGATCTCGCTGACGTGTAGTAGAATTCCCGGCGAGGAGTGGCCTTCGGAGAAGCTTTCGGAATCGGAATACCGGCGTAGCTTACCGCTTTCGGCTTCAACGGCGTCTTTTCCTCTTCCCCCTATAAACCACCAATAAAGAATAATAATAATTATTATTGTTGTTAATTTTAAGTTTAAATATTGTTTTCGTCTCAATATTTTAAATTAATACTTCTAAAACGTCAATTCTTTATCTCTATAATTTTTATTTTTATTCGTCAAATTTCAATTATTTACAAAAATGACTACTTTGATTCGTTACTCTTCTTTTCTATCTCATATTTTTCGACTACAATTTTAATAAATAGTTTCCATTGGATATAAAATTTATGCTAAAATTTTAGCACAAAATGATCTCTTTTTAAAAATATAAAGATTAAAATGGCCGCTTTTGAAATTATCAAATAAATATTTTGAAATTATAGGATCAAATGCATCTATATTTTCATAATTTGGATTTGAAAGAAAAATGGAAGACCAATTTGTGCAATTAACGTTTTTTTTTTCTTTTTGTCTCACTTCTTAAAAAAATACTTTAAAATACTCCCAAAATTTCAAAAGATAAAAAGACAAGTATCCAAAGTTGCAGAATCAAAAAATAGCAAATGCCTAAAAGTAAATAAGAAAATAAAATAATAAATAAAACAAAAAAAAATAAAAATAAACGTTGTAGGAAAGCGAAAACGGTACCGTTTGATCAGATTTCCTCTTCCTGTCGCTGCATAATCGATAGACGTAATCATAATACAGACTTTGCAGTACCAAAACTATAGTACTCACTGTGTAAAGCTGCATGTTGGAAAATCCGTATAAATTATAAATTATAAATTATCACATCACCAAATATCTTATTTATTTTATTTCAATTTCTCTTCATGTATAACTTTTTTGTTCAAATTTTCTCTTTCTTAAAAAATTACTTAGTTCTTGTTTAATCTCTATTGAAAATCACGAGAGATCAGATGTGTTTATAAACTACAGACACTAAATTGATACATGGTAAAAATTGACATTTAATTTTCCTGAGATGTTTTTACAGTAAGGACTAACTTGGTACAAATTTTTGATTACATAAATTTAAATTATTACAAACTAAAGTTTAGGAACTAAATTGTTATAGATTAAGATTAGGAGACTAAATTGTTATTTTAATAAAAGTATAATATAATTACAAATATTGTCCTTTAGTCAAGAAATTAATGTCGGTTTGAGCATAGTTCTAATTAAGATATATATCCTCGACCAAATAAACAGTGAGTTTTTATCTACATCCCACAAAAAATAAAAAAATAAAAAATCCTATTTGTAATACTCTACAAAGAGCTGTCAGATCTCAATTTGGTCAGAAATTTAAAAAATAATTCTAAAAACTAGAAAAAGAAACCATTTGTGAAAAATAGTTTAGTTTGTAAAAGAAACTAAAACAAAATTACCATTATAGAAAGCCTAAGACTTGGAACCATGGCGTAGTATTTAAAAATTCAATATGTTGAGGTATTATTTTACTTCATTTGCTTTTCACTTTGATTCACTCTACTCCAGATAATTTCAAAACATTTATTTTGATTTTTGTATTTAATTTGTATTCAGTTTAATATTTTTACTTTAAAAACATCAATGGGAACCTTTTGAATACAAATTTATAACGATATTACAAACACTAAATAAACGAAAATTAAATAAACCAAAGACCAGACTAACAAATTCACGTGAATGAAAATAAACAAAAATCGAAACTACATTGGAAAAAAACATTTATCAATAAAATAATTGCTAACACTTCTTAAATAAATAAAAAAATTGAGAGGGAGGAAAAAGACATTTCATTGAAAAGAAAGAAAGAAGTGAATAAAATTTAGAAATATATAATTCTGAAGATGGGTCCAAAGTGATCTTGACAAACACACCCAATAAATTATTGAGGTATTTTTAGGCAAAAAGAGAGAGAAATGCCAATTAAAAATATATATAAAAAAGGAAAGTGGGAACTCTCCCATTATTTTTTGTGCTTCTAAAATTTAATATTAAAAAGGCAAAAAGAGAAGAGGCAATCGATTTCTCTGGAGAAGGGACATTAAAAAAATAAAAACAAATCGTGCAAAATCAAGATTCCAAGTTCAAAATCAAATACATTACATATTAAACTAATCCTTAAATAATAGTTATACCAGGTGATTTCCGTTAACTATCACTTATTTACACTAGGGTCCCTGTACTTTTAAAATTTGTTATTCATTCTTTTTCTTGAAACACTTAAAATTTGTAAATAATATTATTTTATACTTAACCTAAACTCAAATCATAACTCTTTCAGCGATGAAATTGATTCTTTTTTCTTTTTAATGTGATAATATTACGTAGAACTGGAGATTCAAACCTATCACCTTTTTTTACTAGAAATAGATGTCTAACTCATTATAATAAGAAAAATTACCGTAGGTAAGTATTTTAAAATATGTCACCTGTTTTTTTAATTTTTAAATGTAGCAAGAATTTTCATATATATCAGTAGTAATATATAATTATACGATACATTTATAATATGTTTGATATATATCACATACATCAGTAGTAGTCTGATATATTACAGATATATCATTTGGGTAAAGTTATAATTTTAAAATTAAACCTCCATTTTTTTTAAGCGCTATATTTGAAAAAACTAAAACGTGAATTCTATTTTGTTAATTTTTTCTTTTGTCATATTTTTCCACGAAATAAATGGTTCGGTCAATTAAACTAAATTGAGCTAAATTGTAACTTAATAACTTGTTTATGTTCTTTTTCTTTTTTCTTTTTAAAATATTTGAGAGAGAGAGAGAGAGAGTAAAATGGTTACTTACGAGTGCTGTGTAGAGCTGAGTGGGGAGCTGAAAATGAAAATTCAAAAACAAAATTAGTGAAAGGAAATGAAAGAAAAAAAAGAAAGAGTTTGTTTCTGATAAAGTTGCAGAAATTCAGTGGTGCGAGTTTGGCAGAATGGGACCACACAGTAAGAAACCAAACGCGTGACAAACTCAGTTAAACTCGGGCCGAGTTGACTCAGACTCACCGTGGCCGGTTCCAGAAGGCAGCCCACGAGATTAAACGCATCGCTGCAGAAAAAGAAGGAGGAGATTAAAACGACGGCGTCTGGAGGGGAGGGGGAGGGGTGAAACGGCGGCGTTTAGGGAGTACCGACCCGGCGACCCAGGTGAGGAGGAAGAGGAGGGAGACGCCGTGGCTGGACTTGGTACGGAAGTTGGTGACGATCTGAGGGATCTCGGCGAGGCCCCAACAGAGCAAACTGATGAAGCCGAACGCGAACGACATGTCGTCTCTGAGATTGCAGAGGCAGTCCTTGAAATACGTGTCGGCCCATCCCACGCACGGCTTCTGCTCCTTCACGCAATACGAACCCAGCGCCATTTTTCTTCTCTCTCTCTATCTAAACTGAACTGCAGGTTTTTGTGAGGCCTTCAAGAACAAAAATAAAGCCCCTTTTTAAAGCCACACACTATGAAAATTCAAAAATTAATTAATTAATTAATTCTCTAGTTTATTACGTGAGGATTTATTTTGAATATTCTAATATTCCTCTCGCCATTCCACCTTTTTTTTTTTGGTAAATTAAAATAGAATGAAGAATATTTTGAGGGGTTAAAGACATATATTTCTGACTCTAAACTGTGAAAAGATATGATATTGGTGTGAATAATTTTTAACTTATTTTAAAATGTTGAAATGAAGATTGTTCCAAATCAAACACGTTTAATTTTGGAGTTTTTATAATTGAGTCACCGAAAAGGAAGGTGCTCATTGTTGATATAGGCAGTAAATATCAATTCTTTTAAATCTTTTCCTAATCATGCTTCTATGGTCTCAATTCATTCGAATGTGGTATCGATTCATTCATGTATCTCTCATTTTTAGTCGAGCGTCACATGTTCACCAACTTCCACCTTGATTCGTCCCCAAACCACATCGTACTGGGAGAGATTCCGCTCTAATACCATTTTGTAACATCCCAAATCCAGGATTCCTAATCCTGAGTTTGAGGTGTTACAGTTAATTTAAATATTTGTTATGAATTTCGTATCTTGAATAATTTTTTTTGAAATATCCGTCGACGATATTTTTATCGATGTTTTTATAAAATTAAGATAAGATGTCTATATTATTTTTCACGTCCACATTTAAAACCTTACTTCCAACCCTTTAGTATGGAACGGTTTATATTTTTTTTTAGTTTAAAACTTGGAGTTTCTTGATGTGTTACTTGGGAGAGAGTCTAGTTTTTAATTGTAGAGGTAGATTGTTTAATTAAGTAAAAGGTTGATACTTTTCCTCTTTTGGGAAGGTTTCCTAAGAAAAATGTTTCAAATCTTAAACTAGGAGGAGTGTTGCAGATCAAAATTCAGGGATTAAATTGTTCCAAATTTAAATTATCTATTAAGGTTTATGGACAGAATTATTTTAATTTATAAAATGTATTCTATTTTCGCCTCTAAATCTTTAAAATATTCTTTTTTACTATTTTGTTGTTAATTGTTAACCAAATCGATCACCCGACTATGAAATTTGAAGAATTAAAATAGATCCTTTTGAAAGTTGAATGACGGACAATGGAATGAGTTCAGAGGTCTAGAGGTTCTATTAGTTCCTATAATTTTAAAATTTAAAATTTTAGTTTTACCACTTTTTATGGAGTTTTGAAAAAGACAACTTTCTTAAGTGATACGTTTTTTTAGATATCAACTTATTGTCTCTCTCAAGTTCTCAACTACATTTAAAAAAGTATTCTATCGACTTTTGGTCACGCCAAAAATACTTTAAAAATTTTAACAAAATCATAGAGATTAAATTAAAAGGGTAGATTAGACTTAAACAAAACCTAAATCATAAACAAGGACTAAAATAGTAATATGGCCTCTTCTTCTTCTTTTTTTTTTTTTTTGGTATTCTTCGAAAAATGCAAAGGAAGACAAATGAAGGAAACGTTTTTGTTTTCATTATTGTTGTTGTAATTTACTTCTCATCAAAATAATCATTACCAAAACCAAATTATTTTAACGAGTAAGAAGAAACAAAAACAAAAACAAACTTGAATAAGTTGGCTTTTTTTAATTTGGTTAAATTCTAAAATTGATATTTTAAATTTATTTATTTAATCGTCAAATTTTGAAAAATTCCTGATAAATATTTGAACTTTAAAGATAGTGTCTAATACATCATTATTGCTAATCCAATATAATTTTTTTTTAGTATTTAGTCCAAAGAGTGGCAACATTAAAAGTTCAATAATCTATTAAAAAAATTTTAAAATAACAAAGATTAAATAAATATAGTCTTAAAATTTAAACATCAGATTTATAATTTTATGATGGAACGAAGTTTAGCATACAAATTATTCTAAAAATTGCTCCTTTTGAAGTCTGTCTTTAAATTATTTCATAATTTAGAGATTACTTAATTTTATTTTCTCTTCTTTTTAAAATGAAATCTAGCTTGAAACCTCTCTATTAATTTTGGTATTTCATTCACAAAGTCATTTCTTAAAAAATCGTTTCTCAGATAAATATTTTAAAAACCACTATAAATCGTGTGAACTAAAGGCTTTTTTTTTTCTTTTTTTTTTTGTCCTTATGAGTCATTGGTGTTGGGTCCATCTAAAACTCAAGGCACAGATTGAATTTAAAAAAAAAATACTAAAATGAAATAACATATTTTCACATCAAGAAATATTAAAGTCATGCATATTTAAATGATTACTTTTCTAATAATGTTGTCATTATCACAAGTTGAAGCTTATGATTTAAAAGAGGGAAAAAAAAAAGAATATTTGAAGTGAACAGGTGAGATAATGAAGTTTATATTAAAGAAATGTTCACAACAAAAAATAATAAATAAAAATAGAATCTTTGGTTCACAAAATTCAATAAATATATTAAAGAAATGTTCGCAATTTAATATACGGTTCTGCATGACCCCAAGTCAAGAAGTCCCTTGTGAAACCTATATTTTACTTGTAATTTTTTTAATAAAATATAGGCTCAATTTTTATGAATAACAGTGTTTTTGGGATGATTTTTGAAAAACATAATACTTGTAATAAAAGTATTTTTATAAGAAAATTAGTTACAATTCGTTTTCGTTGGTGGGGAATTTTCAAGAGGTTTACATATCCCTCGGATGAGTGTACCTACAACCAGAAAACTCAACGTTGGTACGGTGTCCTGCCTAATATACTCTAACACTCAAGTCAATATATAATCTGAGTATAGAAAATACGAGTAGACACTTTAGGATTTTAGCAACAGGTTTTTCATTTACTTGGTATTGGGGGAGTCCTTCCCTTTCATAGGCACGGGTTGCTGATCAGGAAGGACGATGGTTGTGGAGGCAGAGGTGCATCGAGTTGAACGAAGCTTTGGCTGAAGGGTGTACGTTCCCAACAGATGTGGGTGGTGCCTTCGCTCATAGGTATGCAAACTTGCAGTCCACAAGTCTCTGCAATCCTCAACGTCCTCTTCGTATAACAGCAGCAACAATGCACCCATATGTTTGTGCAAAGTACGGTAATAACCGTCTATGGTCCCACACCTCGTAGTCGCTCTCGATTCTAGACGCGTGTCCTACTTGGATATTTATCTGCACTAAATATTATAAGATCAGACAGCTGTCCCTTCCTTCTTTCGAGTTTCTTACACTTTCTGAATGTAAATGTCGTGTTCGAATTTCTTTGGAGATCCGATCTAAATCTATGACACGTGGCGGTGGATTTCCGACCCTCGAACAGTGAAAAAATTGAAAAGAGTATATATGTAACGAAGTAGAGGGGTGTGGTGGGAATATTCTTTTATTTTTATTTGAAACCCTTTTGTATTGTTGTGATGATTTTGATAAGAGTAAAATAAATGTAGACTATACAATCACACTTTCTCTCTCTGCCTCAAATTGACGGTCAATATTTTTTCACACTTTTTTTTGTCTTAAATTTATATTGCTTTTTTTTTTCCTTTCCTATTGACATCATGTTGCCATTTTGTCTTCACTTGGATCACTTTTCAGTGTAATTTTGCCTTCATTGTTCAAACTAAATTGTTTGTTACCTTTCTTCTCAACTGTAGAAAAGTGAATATTTTGATCCTTTTGTTTTCATTTTCATCTTGTTTTTTTATTGTAATTCTAACGTGACACTTCTCTCATTTACTAAATTTCTTGAAATATAATCATAATTTTGTGTTAAAATATTTTAATTTTGTATAATATTTATGGTAAAATTTTGAAACTAAGAATAAAATTGGTCACTCATTAAAAGTTCAAGAACCAAAATAAACGTTTTAGATATAGATGGACTAAAATAAATCAAAATTAAAACTACAAAACGACTACAAATTGAAGTGGTAAAACCAAAATAATATTTAAAGTTTAAAATTAATTATTAACCTCTTGACTTTGATTAAGGAAATCACTTCAACAATCATTACCCATCAAGTGTAAATTGGATGCTTTAATCTGTGGTTCCCCCAACTTCAAAGGCACACATCAATGGTAGTAAGATTTTCACTCCTTCATGAGTTAACTATTGATTTATGCTCTCTAATCTTTTATTTCAAAATTTTAGAAATGGAAACTATGGATTCAAATTTCTATACCACGTGATCTAAATTTTTTACCTATATACTTTTTGTAAAAAATGATGTTGTCTATTTTTCTGCATAAGAGTCGGGAGATTTAAACTTGTGATCTATTGATCAAAACACGTATCAATTACCATTAAGCTAAGGTCATGTTGGCTTATTGAACCTATATCGACTGGTGCAATAAATATTGTGAAAAATCATAGGATTAATGTTTAGAAATTTAAAATTATATGTCTCCAACATATTATGCATTTTAGTAAGAATCGCGTGTACTCATGTTTCCAGCTTAATAATAAAACTACTTGGAGCATTGTTTAACAAATTAAGACACCAATTTCCGATAGAAAAAAAGCCTGAATTTGAATCTCTACCATCACAAATTGTACTAAAAAAAATATGGTTGTTTGGTTATGTTTATGTTTTTTGTTTCTTGTTTTCGAGAAACAAAGTAGTCGGTAACTATTTTTGTTTCTGGTTCCTCATCTTTAGAAAATGTTGCAAAAATTGTATACAAAATCTAGGAAAACAACCAAGTTAATAGGAAATTGGGATTTTTGACCCCTTTCAATAACCACTCTGGATTTTTGACCCCCTTTTGATTTTTACTTATTCATGACCCCTCCACAGTTTGCTGACCGCTCCCCTTATTTTATCATGTAAATTGACTAAATTGCCCTCATTTCATAATAAATGCATTTATGATATAATAAATTTCCTACCAACCACCAACTTAACAATTCTCACTTTGTTTTTTCAACTCCAAATCACCACACACACGCAAGTCACGTTTTTTTTTCCAATACTCAAGATTTTCTCCACGTGATT